GTGCTTCCCAAAGTAGGAGAGGGGAGATGTCAGGGGTTTGGTTTAGAGATAGGTAATTTTTTAGCGCAGTTTCGATATCCAAGCAATGTGTCGGGTTTGTTAAGAGGTTGTCATTGATGATCTAGGAGGAATCGGGGGGGATGGGGCCAAAGAGGCAATGGAAGTGAGTACAGCACAGTGATCTGACAGGGAATTGGGAGGATTTCGGAGGCCAATAATCAGGGGGAGGAGCTAGCAGTCATGAAGATGTGATCTATTCTTGAGAATGGCTTATGAGGGTGGGAATAGAAGGTATATTGGCGCTTTATCGGGTTAAGTTCTCTCCAGGTATCTATCATGGAGTAACATTGTAGTATGACTTGGAAGGTTTGTTTAGAAGTGGGGGGGGGGGAGGATACTTATCTAGAAAGGGGTATAAGGTACAATTTGAATCTCCCAAACTAACAGTGTACCATGTTTATGGTGGTCAATGACCGATAATAGGTGGGAGAGAAACGGTAAGGGAACTTGGTTCGGGGCGTAGTATGTTGCGATGGTGACTTCAACGTTCAGAAGTTGCCCGGTTAGCAGGAGGTAACAACCTTTGGGATCTTTAATTTCAGTATGCAATGTGAAGGGCGTCGTACGGTGGAAGGCAATGAGTACCCCTCTGCGTTTGGTAGCGGCGGGGGCCAAAGAATTTGGGAGTGGAGGAAGGAGTGTAGTGTGTCTCTTGAAGGCAGACTATATGAGCTTTATGTGATGCAAAGGAGCGGAATGCCTTGTTGCGTTTCTGTGATACGTTAAGGCCCTGAACATTCAGGGTGAGAATATTTAAGGAACCCATGGGGAGAGTGTGTAGCGAACCAGATAGTAGGGTGTTACCAGCTGGAAGGGAATCTGGTAGTCATGGTAGGAAGCAGTTGGGTGGGGTAAGGAGTTAAAAAAAGTTGTGGAGTCATGTAGGGGGGAGGATAGAGTTAGGGAAAGGTATCAGGAGGAGGATGTAGGGGGCCATACAAGCCAAGGAGATGGTCCCCAGAGTCACCCGGAAATCAGGTGGTCTAGGGAGCAGTAGTAGCTCGAATAGTATCAATCAAAACTCGATACCAAAGGGGCTAGTAGTGGGTGCACAGGTGCATGGGCTACGGGGAAGACATCATAAAGACAAATGTATGACGGTGATATCCTGGAAAAAAAAAACATTAAGGTTGGCTCACGGAGGAGTCAAGGGGTCCTCGGCTCGGGCGGCACCGCCTATCTAGGTAAGCCAGTAGTGGTGAGAGGATATAGTCTCCTGTGCCGCCAGAACTGAGGTCCCCGTACATAAATTCAAACATAACCATTTAAAAATTAGTCCAACAAGTAGCATATAAGGCACAACAAGCTCTCAACAATATAAGAGAGAGAAAAGTAAAGATGACCTTTAACTTGCGGGACAACAGGAAAGAGTTTTCTCAGTACATGCTAAAACATTGAGGAAAAAAAGAAAGAAAAAGGAAGAAAGTTGAAAAAGATCAAAATAACGGTATGGGCCTTCCGGGCTTACATAAGGATACAGATGCTTAACGTTTGCATCTGGGTGAGAGATGAGGAGAACAGAGACTATGGGAGTTCCACTTTGTTGTGTGTAAGCAGTAGGGTGGAAGTTGGTTGTTGAGATTAAGTCCATGGAATCTTGTGGAGATGGAGCAGGTGATGAAAAACACCCTTGTTTGTGGGTGTTGAGTTGACCATTGACGGGGTGTGGAGGGTGAGGTTTCTGTGGTGAGCAGAACGCTGAACGCTGTCTGGAGCCTTCTGATGGTGTTGTTGGTGGGTGTAGCTAGAGGTTCCGCAGGGTGTCCAGTAACTCGTCAGGGGTCTTGCAGATGTAGTTTCGGGCCTGGTAGCGGAAACGCACTGTGAAGGGGAAGCTCCATTTATATGGTATGCTATGTTGTTGGAGCGCCTGTAGAGGAGGTTTCATGGCCCTGCGTTTGGCGATGGTAGTGGGGCAGAGGTCTTGAAACAGCTGGTAGGTGTGACCTTGGAACGTGAGGGATTCTGCATTTCGGGCTGCTTGTAGGAGTTGCTCTTTAGTGCGAAAAAAGTGGAGTTTGGCTATGATATCGCGTGGTGGGCCATCAGTGCATCGTGGATCTAATGCCCTATGGACCCTGTCCATTTCCAGGCATTCTATTAGGATAACAGGGGCGAGCTCTTGAAATAACGCTGTAAACAGTAAATTGGACGTCAATGACCGACTCGGGAAGGCCGTGGATTCGTATATTTGAGCGCCTAGCCCTATTCATCTAGACGTGTTTGCAGTGCCGCGTTTTCGTCACACGGAAGGTCAAGGTCATCTGCATGTGTCTGAAATGAGGCATCAAGGTCATCCACTCTCTGTTCCAGGTCAGTGATGTGTTGCACCAGTTTGCAGATTTCTCTGGACAGCTTGTCTGTAATGCGGTCAGAAGTCTGTTTCAGGGCTTTGTGTAGCATTTTTTCAAAGCTCTTGAGAAGGTCAGGAGAAGTAAGATCAAGAGTAGAGGCATGTATGGGGGTCTCTGGGTCAATATCTGACTCAGCCTCAGATGTGCAGGGATGGCTTGGCTGCTCTGTCTGCAGGGCTGCATAGGTCTGTGCAGCTTTCTTGCTGCCAAGAGTGGGTGCAGTGACCATCTTGGAGGAGGCTCGAGCCAGGGCCTCCTTAATGGGTTTGCTGGGCGGCAGAGCTTGGTGCCGGGACGATCCCCTGACCATGTCGGCGTGAGGCAGGGGGGTTGCTACGGCAACTGGAGCCATTTATATGACGGCGCGGGCCGGGATCTTTGTTCGGGTGGCTGTCTTCCCTGCGGCCTGACAGAGCCTCAGGGAGACATGTCCATCCCGCGGGCCGTGAATGCGCACTTCCGTTCTCTCTGTTTCTCATCATAGGCTCCAAAACAACAGTGGAAACCATTGGCTCCTGCTGCTTTTGATCTAATCCTGTAAGGAGGAGTGGAGGGGGGAGGTGCAGGGCAGTCAATGGATGCACACAGCCTGGCTCAGAAGCAAGCCTGCAGACATGCCACCATAGGAAGGGGCTCCATATAATGGCACACAAAGAATAGGAGGAGCCAAGAGCACTGGCTTGGGACCCTAGAATAGTACACAGCGTGTTTTTTTATTTTACGGTAATTTAAAAAAAAATACCAAAGTATACCATTTTTCCTTATTTTAAACAAAGAAAAATCCTTCAAAACCATTTTAATACTAATATATCTTTCCAGTGAAATGTGAAAAAACAAATTCAACAAAAGTTTGACTTTTATAAATAAAAGTAATTCTTGCTTTAGTGAGTATGTGTCAGGGCTCCCAGGTATGACCAGAGATGTGTGACTGACGCAGGGAAACGCAGACTTCAGATATGGGATAAACAATATAATTTATTAACACTAACAATACAAACATAAACGCAGTGCAATACTAAACATAATACAGTGCAAACAAACCAAACCAACCACCCACAGATAACAGTACATACAAGCAAGCGTCGTCAGGCAGGCCGGGTCAATATCAATTGGGCAGGTAGGTACAGGGGGAGAGCAAGCGGAGAATGGTCGGGGTCACAGGCCAGGTTCAGCAGGTAGCAAGCAGCGTAGTACAGAGGGTCAAGCAGAGGGATGGTCAGGGTCACAAGCCAGGGATCAGAACAGGTAGCAAGCAGCGTAGTACAGAGGGTCAGGCAGAGGAACAGAAACAGGATGCAGGACAGATACAGGGCCCAGGACAAAACACACACCAAGGCAGAGTCTGTGGGTCTGGCCATCCCTTAAATACCCCAGCATAATCAGTTCCAGGTGTTAGCTGGCTGCAAAGTTGAGTCTCTGATTGCTGGGAGCACCCGCTGGCCAGCCCTGGTACTGCAGATCAAAAGGCAGGTGAGTCCCACCATTGCTGGCCAGTCCATTCCTGACAGTACCCCCCCCTCAAGGAGCGGCCTCAGGACGCTCCAAACAGTCCTAGCTGGGAAAAATGTTCCACCGCCCGGGTCTGGTAACTGGCGGGATATCAAAGACTGGCACACCTGGCAGGACTCCGGGCAGCGGTACACCAGGCAGAGGCACATCGGGCTGGACACCGGGCAGAGGCACATCGGGCTGGACTCCGGGCAGAGGCACATCGGGCAGAGGCACACCGGGCTGGACTCCGGGCAGAGGCACATCGGGCTGGACTCCGGGCAGAGGGCACATCGGGCTGGACTCCGGGCAGAGGCACATCGGGCTGGACTCCGGGCAGAGGCACACCGGGCTGGACTCCGGGCAGAGGCACATCGGGCTGGACTCCGGGCAGAGGCACATCGGGCTGGACTCCGGGCAGAGGCACATCGGGCTGGACTCCGGGCAGAGGCACATCGGATTACCAGGCGAAGCAGCAGGCAGCGGGTCACCGGGCGGAGCAGCAGGCATCGGGCCCCCGGGCGGAGAGCAGCAGGCACCGGGCCCCCGGGCGGAACAAAGCAGCAGGCACCGGGCCCCGGGCGGAGCAGCAGGCACCGGGCCCCCGGGCGGAGCAGCAGGCAGGGCGGGGCGGGCCCCCGGGGAGCGGGCCCCCGGGCAGGCACCGGGGGCGCCCCCGGGCGGGGCGACCGGCATCGGGCCCCCGGGCGGGGCATCGGCGGCGGGCCAGGCCCCCGCGGGCGGGGCGGCGGAGGGCAGCCGGGCCCCCCGGCGACAGGGCCGACGGGGAGCGACAGGTCTCGGGCCCCCAGGAGGGAGACGGGCTCGGGCCCCCAGGCGGGGCGACAGGCATCGGACCCCCAGATGGAGCGGGTCTCGCGACAGGCATCGGGCCCCCAGGCGGAGCGACAGGCTCGGGCCCCCAGGCGGGGCGACCCCCAGGGCGCCTCGGACCCCCAGGCGGAGCGACAGGTGGAGCGACAGGGCCCCCAGGCGGAGCGACCCCCAGGTCTCGGGCCCCCCAGGCGGAGCGACGGAGCGGCGGGTGCCGGACCCCCAGGTGGGAGCGACAGGTCTCGGGCCCCCCAGGCGGAGCGGCGGGGCGCCGGGACCCCCAGGTGGAGCGACAGGTCTCGGGCCCTCAGGCGGAGCGGCGGGGCCCGGACCCCCAGGTGGAGCGACAGGTCTCGGGCCCTCAGGCGGAGCGGCGGGGGCGCCGGACCCCCAGGTGGAGCGACAGGTCTCGGGCCCTCAGGCGGAGCGGCGGGCGCCGGGACCCCCAGGTGGAGTGACAGGTCTCGGGCCCCCAGGCGGAGCGACAGGTCTCGGCCCCTCAGGGGAGCGGCGAGGCGCCCCCCAGGTGGACACAAGGTCTCGGGCCCTCAGGCGACAGGTCTCGGGCCCCCAGGCGGAGCGACAGGTCTCGGGCCCCTCAGGCGGAGCGGCAGGCGCCGGACCCCCAGGTGGAGCGACAGGTTCTCGGGCCCTCAGGCAGAGCGGCGGGCGCCGAGTCATCTGGCACGACAGTGGGCTCCGAGTCAACTGGCATGACCGCTGGCACTGGGTCACACATTGGATCGTCTGGCTGGACAGCGGGCATCGGGTCACCAGGCATCAGGTCATTTGGCTCAACAGCGGACACCGCGTCATCTGGCAAGGCAGTGGGCTCCGAGTCAACTGGTATGACCGCGGGCACTGGGTCAGACATTTGATCGTCTGACTGGACAGCGGGCATCGGGTCACCAGGCATCAGGTCATTTGGCTCAACAGCGCGCACCGCGTCATCTGGCAAGGCAGTGGGCTCCGAATCAACAGGCACGACAGTGGGCACCGGGTCATCAGGTACCGGATTGTCTGGCTCGACAGCGGGCACTGGGTCACCAGGCATCAGGTCATTTGGCTTGCCAGCGGGCACCGCGTCATCTGGCAAGGCAGTGGGCACCGGGTCACCAGGCATTGGATCGTCTGGCTCGACAGCGGGCATCGGGTCACCAGGTATGACAGCGGGCACTGGGTCACCAGGCATCAGGTCATTTGGCTCGCCAGCGGGCACCGCGTCATCTGGCAAGGCAGTGGGCACCGAGTCACCAGGTACGACAGTGGGCTCTGAGTCAATTGGCACGACAGCGAGCACCGGATCAGGTACCGGATCATCTGGATCAACAGCGGGCATCGAGTCAACTGGCCTAATAGGATCATCAGGCTGGATCAGTTCATCATGCTGGGTAGAGGCATCAGGCTGAATGCCGGCGTCCGGCTGAGTAGAGGCTTCAGGCCGAGTAGAGGCTTCAGGCCGAGTAGAGGCTTCAGGCCGAGTAGAGGCTTCAGGCTGAAGAGAGGCATCAGGCTGAGTACAGGCATCAGGCCCGAGTAGAGGCATCAGGCTGCGTAGAGGATTCAGGCTGAGTAGAGGCTTCAGGCTGAGTAGAGGCACCAGGCTGAACCACGGAAGGCAGGTTCTCAGACGGCAGGCTCACCGGTTTGGATACTGGCAGGATGGTATTGGTTGGAAAGAATTTTCGCTTTTTTCTGGTTTTAACTACTGGAGCACTGCAAGTAAAACGCAGGTCTGCAAACGAATGGAGCAGCTGGAGACAGAGAAAAACTGGAGGATGGAACAGGAGAGGGAGCAGTTGCTACAGAGGGCTTTTTTACAGGGTTAAAGGCAGGATAGGTGCAGCGAGTGGGAACAGGGTACTGACATGCGGTAGATAGCCAAGTATACTGGGCTGTAACTGGAGGAGCTGTTGGGAATACAGGAGAAGAGTTAGAAGCAGGACTGGGTGCAACAAGTCTGTCCATGTCTGCAGTAGGGGTTGAACAAAGCTGAGCTTACACAAAGCCTGTCTGGTCAATGACTGCACTGCGTTTATACAAACTCTTAGTGTCTGTGGTGAACATGTGGAATAACGCTCCAGAAAGTAACCCACAGCATCCTCTAATAACCACACCAGGGACTCTACCTGGTCTGCACTAAATGGTGGCAAAAAATTCATCCCTGCATTCGGGGGAACCAGATGAAACCAACTCTGCACAAACCTCAATCAAAGGCTGCACCTCAGAGAACTCTGTGCCCTGATCTACTAGAACATGAGCGAGCCGTTATACATTCTAGCAGTTCATCCGGGTATACTCCTTCAGAGTTTGATAAGCATACTCCCTGTCATCAAACACTAGCAGAGATAAATACTCAACCTCATCCAGATCCATCCTTCCCATCAACAAACCAAGATGGCTTCCCTGTGCAGCCACTTCTGGTCAGGATTGGCCTTGGTGTAATGTCAGGGCTCCCAGGTATGACCAGAGATGTGTGACTGACGCAGGGAAACGCAGACTTCAGATATGGGATAAACAATATAATTTATTAACACTAACAATACAAACATAAACGCAGTGCAATACTAAACATAATACAGTGCAAACAAACCAAACCAACCACCCACAGATAACAGTACATACAAGCAAGCGTCGTCAGGCAGGCCGGGTCAATATCAATTGGGCAGGTAGGTACAGGGGGAGCAAGCGGAGAATGGTCGGGGTCACAGGCCAGGTTCAGCAGGTAGCAAGCAGCGTAGTACAGAGGGTCAAGCAGAGGGATGGTCAGGGTCACAAGCCAGGGATCAGAACAGGTAGCAAGCAGCGTAGTACAGAGGGTCAGGCAGAGGAACAGAAACAGGATGCAGGACAGATACAGGGCCCAGGACAAACACACACCAAGGCAGAGTCTGTGGGTCTGGCCATCCCTTAAATACCCCAGCATAATCAGTTCCAGGTGTTAGCTGGCTGCAAAGTTGAGTCTCTGATTGCTGGGAGCACCCGCTGGCCAGCCCTGGTACTGCACATCAAAAGGCAGGTGAGTCCCACCATTGCTGGCCAGTCCATTCCTGACAGTATGTGTTTCTGTGGGGTTATCATGAAAGACATGAAGTTGAGGAATTTGGGTGAAATTGATCTCAAAGTTTAATGGGAAGATTGATGCTGACTTTACTTTGCATTGATAAAATAAACCTGAAATAAAAAAAAATATATGTTTTATGACACAAAAGCTGGGTTAAAAAAGGAAGGGGGGTGGAAAAATACGTAGCTATATCAAGGGTCCCAATATATAGTCCATAAGGTCCAATATTCACTCCTATAGATGGCTGCAGCTCCTCTGATCAGAGTATAGGATAGATCCTCTGTACTTGTACACTGCAAAAGATTCAAAAGACGGGCGGCATCATCTCAGTGTAGTAGAACCAGGATGCATCTGCAAAACCTATGCAGAGTTCATCATGGAAGTGTTGTTGGGTGATGCAGAGTTGTTACAGGAATTGCTGGGAGAAAACATACTAGTTGGAACCAGAGTGGAGCGCACCAGCATATCAGAATTGGAAACTGGAAATGAAAGCGTGACAAAGTCAGGAAGTGGCAACAGGATGACATAAATGGCAGGGGGTGTGGCTACAAATTTTGAGGCCTCAGAACACCCCATTATCAAACTTGACTAGACACTGAACTGCAGAAATTTATACTGGAGGGACATGGGTGCGTTAATTGCTTACCAGGGGAAGAGGAGACACTGGATGTGCTCCAGAGATTACAAGTCAATAGAATCAATAAACCTCAGTTATTACACTTTGCACACCATGGACACAAACCAATAAGAATAAAAAATAAGACATCTAAGGAATTAATCAAAACCATGACAAATATGTAAAAAGGCATGTAAAAATTGGTAAATAAAATACGGACAATATTATTCAATAAATAAATCTGCCATATACTGTATTAATACAAGCAAACACATGGTTATTTTAGAAATTGCATCCACAACAATAAATAATGCATGAATTTCTGAATATTTGAGAAAAGGTGGGGGTACATATAGTATATAGAAAATAAAAAAACTGAAAGTAAGAATAAAAGTTAGACTTCTTTAGCAATAGGTAACAACAAGATCACAGTACTTTTCTTGATTTCTTCATTGAACCCTGTTGGGGACAAGGGCATTTTAAACTTGAAATAAGAACTGTGATTGCTGATTTATATCACCAAGATTTCAGTATGAATTTTCGGTCAAATTCTAGAGCCTGATTCTAAATCTGACTGGTTGTTATAAGACAGCAATGGGCAAACTACGGCCCGGCGGACCTTTTAATCCGGCCCGTGGAGCGTGATACTGTCAGGATGGCTGTCAGGATGTGTGTAGGCGGGGCAGCGTGACGAACGTGAGGGGAGCTAGGCTCCTCTCACAGTTCGCCCTGAAGACCGGAACGGCGCGGGAACACGGCGAGAGGAACGCGCGGAGCAAAGGTAAGTGAATTGACACAGGGGGGACTTGGGGACTTAATATGGGGGATGAATTAATATGGGGAATGAATTACTATAGGGGGGATGAATTACTATAGGGGGGATGAATTACTATATGGGGGATGAATTACTATGGGGGATGAATTACTATGGGGGATGAATTACTATATGGGGGATTAATTACTATGGGGGATGAATTACTATGGGGGATGAATTACTATATGGGGGATTAATTACTATATGGGGGATGAAATACTATATGGGGGATGAATTACTATGGGGGATGAATTACTATATGGGGGATGAATTACTATGGGGGATGAATTACTATGGGGGATGAAATTACTATATGGGGGATGAATTACTATATGGGGGATGAATTACTATATGGGGGATGATGATTACTATATGGGGGATTAATTACTATTAGAGATGAGCGAATTATTCAAAAATTCGATTCGGCTGATTCGGCGAATTCGCGGAATAAATTCGATTCGAGTCGAATATATTCGCTGCGAATTTAACTTATAAAAAGGGTGTTTCTAGGCTTCAGAGAGCCTTTATATTAGTGCAGAACACTGTACCTTTAATTTAAATGCCCTTGGAGTCTGCTGGGGAAGAGAAATAATACTGTCAGTCAGTATGACATGCAGATGAGTGCCGTCGATCTTAGAATCACCGCACACTTCACTCATTTGGGCAGTCACGGGGCCAAAACCAGAGTGTGGAGCCACAGTGTGGCGGTGGAGGCAGCAGCAATGGGAGGCCATACAGCACCCTATGACAAAATGGAACCCACCAGCAGTGTGAGGAGACCTGAAAGTGGCACATGGCAGAGTGTGGCGATGGAGACAGCAGCAATGGGAGGCCGTACAGGGACCCATGACACACTCTGGACCTGGCAGCAGCATGAGGAGGCGGTACAGGGGCCCATGACAGATTACGGGCCTGGCAGCAGCATGAGGAGTCGGTACGGGGGCCCATGGCAGATTACGGGCCTGGCAGCAGCAATGGGAGGCCGTACAGGGACCCATGACACACTCTGGACCTGGCAGCAGCATGAGGAGGCGGTACAGGGGCCCATGACAGATTACGGGCCTGGAAGCAGCATGAGGAGTCGGTACGGGGGCCCATGGCAGATTACGGGCCTGGCAGCAGCAATGGGAGGCCCGTAATCTGCCAGCACCCTATGACAAAATGGAACCCACCAGCAGTGTGAGGAGACCTGAAAGTGGCACATGGCAGAGTGTGGCGATGGAGACAGCAGCAATGGGAGGCCGTACAGGGACCCATGACACACTCTGGACCTGGCAGCAGCATGAGGAGGCGGTACAGGGGCCCATGACAGATTACGGGCCTGGCAGCAGCATGAGGAGTCGGTACGGGGGCCCATGGCAGATTACGGGCCTGGCAGCAGCAATGGGAGGCCCGTAATCTGCCAGCACCCTATGACAAAAAATGGAACCCACCAGCAGTGTGAGGAGAGACTGAAAGTGGCACATGGCAGAGTGTGGCGATGGAGACAGCAGCAATGGGAGGCCGTACAGGGACCCATGACACACTCTGGACCTGGCAGCAGCATGAGGAGGCGGTACAGGGGCCTATGACAGATTACTGGCCTGGCAGCAGCATGAGGAGTCGGTACGGGGGCCCATGGCAGATTACGAGCCTGGCAGAAGCAATGGGATGCCG